TATTCATACACTATTGCTTTTGCATTATAAAATATGATTTAAAAACCCGGGTCATAACCAAATTCAAGCTTAATCAAACTTGACCTCCAGCAGGCCAGCTGTTTGCACGGGCCGTCACTTTGCATGTACCAACAACAGGCAAATCTGCTTATAATCATGATGAAAGTAAAGGTGTACAGTTTTCCAACACTTCTGTCCGGCTCAAGAATTTTTAGAAGCAAACCTTCTAAAGTTTAAAAAACACTGCAAAATCTGTAACCTATATTTTCGGTTAGCTGGTGAACTTTATCTCTTGACATTTCATCTTTTGAACATGCCTACTATTGCAACAGAATATGAGAGGAGCTGTCAGGTTTTTCAGTAAAATATGGATCGATATTCATATTGCTGGCAGATTAATCAGCTATTGGTGGTGATATTTTTACAGAATGCCTACTTGTGTGCGCTTTTTAAAATGAAACATTTATATTTATTTTATTTAGCAGACCCCTGCCTCCAAAACAATGTATAAGTGAAGCTAATAGCACATTACAAACATATGGTTGTCAAGGAGCTGAATAGCTTCCATTGAATACCCAGGTGGGCATGAATACCCAGGTGGGCATGAATACCCAGGTGGGTATGAATACCCAGGAATGAATACCCAGGTGGGTATGAATACCCAGGAATGAATACCCAGGCATGAATACCAAGGTATGAATACCCAGATGGGCATGAATACCCAGGAAGGTTTAAATACCCACAAGTGTAAGCAGCTCTGGAACAAGTGCTACACAACCAGGGGCAAATTGTTGTTTCCAGGGTCCTATTCAAATAGTCACTTCAGGGCCTCCTTCCCCCTCCCTCCCCTCTAATGTAGCAACTATTTGTGGTCAACAGGGAGTCCCATGCAAATATGTGGTTTGAGTGGTAGTAAACACCATGGCTGCATACATCGCCTTACAAACATAGCCTGAACCTAAACAGACAAGGACAAACCATTCAAGATCTAACTGTTCTCATCAAAAGACAATTTAAAGACATTTAAAGTAATGAATAGCTTGCAGAAATCTTTATATGTTGTCAAACAAGATTGAAAAGACATAGTAATAAACATATATTTCTCACATAATAACTTGTATATCAGTTTATGTACAGTTGTAATATGTATCATAATATGTAAAATCACTGAAATATAATTTTGTTTCAGCTAAGACTGGTCATTATTAAATAAGCCAGCAGCATTGCTGAATATGTCTCATTATTGTGCTTTGTTGCTCAATATATCATTCTTTTGTACAGCTTCCCTGAGATATTAATTTCTCACCCAGCAGTTGGTATATTGAGCTTGTTGGATTGTGACCACTCAGAATCCAGTATTTTGGCATTGTGTGTAGGTATGTGAGAGGCTGACTCGGCAAACGCTCAACAAAGCACACGTTCTCTGCTGTAATATTGTCCAGGTTTTCTTTCAAGCCATATTCTTCTAAAACCCACCCTTTCATCCATTCTCTTACTTTAAGTTGTTTTTCTCTTTAGAGGTCTTTCCATTTGTCCCCAGGGTGCATGAGACTGCAGGACTCACCGCGAATGGGGACCGTGAAAGGGATCCATTATAGCATTCTTGGGAAGCCAGTATCCCTTCACTCCGATTGGCGGATCTTTAGGCCGGGCCGTGTGACCAAGCTCAGTGCTGTGGCAGGCCTGGCCAGCTGATTGCCTATCTGGACCGGAGAAGTGTTGTTCGGTCATTCTTTGTGAAAACACAGTCCTGCTCCATTTAAAATTAAACATTTGACAGTGGATCGAGGAATTATATCATCTTGACATCTTTTACTTTCCTCATGAATGATATTAATAAGAAAGTAATATTTTGTGCTACATATGAATGGAGCCCGGAAGTCATAACAGAGCTTTAGGAGTCAGGAAGCTAGCAAGCTTGCTAGATGTACCCCTATTCCATCGTCGAACCCCTGGAACTCATTCCGAGCCACACAAGGCACTTGGCTGGGCTACACCATTCATGCCACATCAGTACCTGGTTAGATCCAAATGTATACAAAGATCAGATAAACGAAGCCACATTATCAAAATAGCAATACATAATGTAAAAGGGGTGCATTAGTTTCTACTTGGTGTTTTATAGGTGAAGCATTTTTGGGGGGGATTTCACCATGGTACACCTGCAGTAGCATTGGAACAACAGAATAGGCATGAACATGGGTCATGTGACTCACACCTATGGAGCGCTTTCTTAGTTCTGGGATGTGATAACCTCTTAATATTAAACCTTTTATTTATTTTTACCTGTTGTACTCATTTACATAATACGGTCTGCTCAGCAAAGACAAAGGTCAGCTTGTATCATCTCCATAATTATGCACTTATGATGTCTTATTTATTTAATTTTGTTATTTTATTTTTTTAAAAGATGAAGTTATCTGTGTGTCTCAGGAAGGCGAAAGTGAAATTTACCAGTCTGGAAAACAATATTTTGATAGCTGAAAGTGGCTGAATGGGTTTAATATTTGTGTTTTTGAACAATGAATAGCATGACCAGCGAAGCCGGTGTATGACTGGTGGAGGTGTAGATGGTTGGCGGTTGGCTAAAGTCAGGCGATATAATATGTTACTTCTTCATCTCTCAGGCAGGCCACATTCCTACACCTTGTTGCCCCCAAAGTATTTTGTTTTCATTGCCCTCCCCCCTCCTGCTCAGATGCCACTCTGGCCGGATTAAGTCAAATGAGCCTGTTTTGGCTCGTTGTCCCATCCAGGGAGGCCCTGCCTTACAACCTGATCCTGATTGGATAATCAAGGATAGAAATAAGAACAGGAAATCAATCTTGAGGCAGCTGGAGACTGTGGACCCGTAACTTTGCACATTTTCCCATTTCTTTTTGTCAGATTTGCCGGCCGTTTGTTTGTCCCCAGGGCAATGGTGGTAAATGCTGCTTTCTCTGCTACTGAAGCTGCCCCTCTGGCACTGGATTTCTTTGGGGAGGGAGGTTGAGGGAGTAAGGTCACCTTTTGTAGGAGGATGAGACATGAAGGGTAGGGGGCAGGATGACAGTGTTAGGGGTCAGCTTTTAGCCTCCTCTGTTTCTGTGGCACCTCGAGAGGGGCTGGCCTTTCTCTTTAACCCTCACACTACCTGTATGGGGGGAGCATCAGAGAAGGGAAGGAGAGAAGGATACTAGTGGATTGCTGTTTTTTTTTTAATAAAAGGTATGAATTACAAAAGAAAGTACCACTTTAGGATAAACCTCCATTTCGCTAATTATAAAAGGTAGCAACAAAAAAATTGTTACAACTGGTTTATTTATTAATGATTTACAAAGTATTACAACATAACCTGGTTATAAATGATTTATAAAGCTGTTTCAGGGGTTGTCAGGGGTTATTCTACAATGGCAACCAAACGAATGACACATATCATCCTGTCATCATTCCAGTTTAAAGGCACAGGTTTTGCGGCAAATGTTAACTCAAGCTTTAATCTTTTCTTTAAAAAAACAAAATTAAAAAGCAGACCAAGGAGCCAAAGGTAGAGGAATGTTTCAGGTGCAACATTTAGAGAAATTAGTGCATTTCCATGAATAACAACAGGAAGCAAATTATATGTAAATTACAACAAACTTTGGATTTCATTTAGAGGCTTGCTTGAAGGCATGAGCCATGATGCATCATCAATCAAAGCCTCCTGAAATTTCAGAGGTAGTGCCCTCCTCAGACCTGGCTTTGGAGATTTGCAAGATGCATCACAGTCCAAATTTAAGCCTACCTCAGTACCATAACCGGTAACCTAAAATGCAGACGCTGATGTGACATGGTCGGGCTTAATGACCACTAACGTGTCTCAGTCCTATTGATCTCGCAGATCACGCGAGGATCGTTCAGCCCCCAGTGAGGTTCCTCTGCGCATATCCCAGAGAAATCGCTTTATTCAGAGAGAGGGCATCTGATAAGGGAAGTAAGCATTGTTTGACAAACCAGATCTATTTCAGGCTCAAAAGCATGTTACGCATCTGAATATCATACCAGACAAAGTGCTAAACGCAGGGTAAATTCAACTGTGCGCATCCTACACAGCTTGTTCAAGGACTGATGTACAGCCTGCAGTGATGTAGTCCTTTACAATCCACTTTTAAGTTTATGACCCAGTGAAATCAGATTTACCGTTTTCCATTACACATATGTGTCAGTGCCACTTTCCCTCCCAGCTGTCAAAATCACTCCTTCAGTGATTTGCTAGAAGGCTATGCCTTAACCTCTGGGTACTCAAAGCCTGGTAATCGGATTAATATTTGAAAACAATTACCTCACTGTGTATGCAGGTCTGTTCCTACATATTTAAAGAGTAAGTAGCAGGAGTAGGCAACCCTGATCCTGGAGTGCTGGCATCCAGCAGGTTTTCCATCCTACCTGGTCTGTGATGGACCACACCTGATCTCAGGCAGACGGTAACTCATCAGGTAGGATAGAAAGCCTGTCAGATAGGCGAACTCTAGGATCTGGTTGTCTACCCCTGCTATATATCAATAGGTCCAATTCCATTAACTCTCCCAGGACTGCATAATCTACAGTTCATCTTTATTACTTTTAATGTATGCAGGTCAAAACAATATTTCTAAGATACTGTTACAGTAATTTAGACCAGATGTCTCAGTGCTAACCGCTGGTGTTACTGATTATTTGTGCCGACTGCAAATGTATTCTGTTTTTATGTTGAATACGAGTTAAATGAAATGTGTCTTAGGGGGGAAAGATGACTGGCTGGAAGCACAAACAGGCATATTGGTTTATAACTTAATAAGCCATCGCCTAGCAACCGCAGTCAGCTTTATCCTTGATTGAGGAGTGCTTGAAAGGATTGGTTCTACCAGAGATCCCCAGCTCGAGGGAATCATTGGTGCCTGTATTCAAGACTAAACTGGCAACATAAAATCTAATAAAGAAAGCACATGGCACTTAATAATGCATATTATTTTGTCACAAGAAACACATACACTTCAACATAGCCTGATGAAAGTGCATCGATTTATTTGTTACAATTATTTGATCCATTTCACCCATCCCTGGTTTTTTTAGCACCAAGAGTAATAGATGAGAACATATTCTGATCTGCACCAAAATGGTTTGAAAAATAGCCCAGCAGATATTGTATTATATTTTTCAGGAAAGTTCCCCAGGACATTTAACCAACAACACAGAGACAGTTTATAGGTCAGTAATGTGTAGGAGTTATATATATATTTTTTGCAGAACATAGTAGATGCAGTTTTTCTGCTGCCACTGATGTTGTCTTAGTCTTTGAAGGTAAATGACCAAACAGAATCCATAAACAAAACATCAGTCTGGATATAAAGTACTCTATCACAAATAAAATGCAAGTTGACAGGTCTTTCTAGAAGATTCTCAAAACAGTCTGAGAAGAACTCAAGCGGTGACAAAACAAATCATGAGATATGGGCATGGGGGGGTTCATACTGCTGTGATCACGATAAAGGAGCTGCAATTGACATGTAAAACCCCTGGTCACTTGACTTTTCTCCCCCATGACCTTGCTGTGCCATGATGCCCCGCCCACACTGCCTGAGAAATCTAATTGGTCAAGGAACATGACGGTGAGATTCAATCGTCTAAAGATAGAATAGTAATGTAGAAAACCAAGAGAGTGCACTGGCTTATTCGGAGGTGATAAAACCATGGAGAACAGAAAAACAGAAGCAGAACTGCAGAAAGGGAGCATGACGCTGATGTTTCCTCCCACTCCACGGGAACAGGAGAAGAGATTGATTTGACATGCAATAAACAAGGACACAAAAAGAAAAGGACATGGTGAGAAAATGGTGAGAATTAAAGGGCTGAAGGAAAAAAAAACAAATTAAGAAAAAAATAATCCATACATTACAAACTGGTTGACTTTTAGTCTCTACTTTCAGGAGCCACTTGTACATAAAGTATTGTCACAAACTGCTGTGTATCAGCAAATAACTATGAGGAAATGAATCCCCAGGAATGGGTGTATTCTTTCCATGGGCGTAAATTATGGGGGGGGGGGGGGGGGTTGTAGCCCCCCCAATAAATCAAAACCAGCTAATACAACCCCCCCAATAATCATGTTTCCCCCGTAATGGGTGGAGACCTCAACCCCCCCAATGTTCCAGCCAAAGTTACGCCCTTGATTCTTTCATAAAAGCCACAGAACTATGGGCAAAGGGATACATTGGCACAGGTACTGGTACAGGGTTCACCTTACCTCATATTTACTGTCCATTACATAGTAGAGTGGGGATGGTCATGTCCCTGTGGTCTGGCCTGGTTTAGAGCCAGAATCATACAATGGCTTTCAAGGACCTGAAAATGAACACATTTCTCACTTAAGGAAAGACGAGCGGAAGACATGGATTTTGTTTTAGTCTGGGGTGTAACCTTTGTCATTGCACATTTAAATTAGCAGTGTGGGCAGATAAGCTCAGTTATCGCACCGTTAAAATTAATTAAATTTAATGTTCCCCTTTAATCTCACTGGCTGCACTTAAATGTACGCGGCGTGTCCCTCAGAGTGGAATGCATAATTAAACTGAAGGGGAGTTAATGGCAAAAAGTATTTATTTAAAAATAACTAGGGGGGAAATGAACTGATCTTTTGAAGGGAAAATAATGAGAATAAGCCATTACTTGTAATGTGCGTAATATTTAAAAAGCATGTCTTCTGTCACAACATATGATATAAAGTTCGCATTGTGACGAAGCAAAAGGGTTTATTGAACTCAGTGAACAGAGGCTGGGAACACACAGGATCGCGGGAACAGGAAGACTGGAACAAGGGAGGGCACAGGCAGCAAGGTTTGGCGTCAATTGACCAGACTGGGGATGATGGGACAAACAGATACAAAGTACAAAAACTAACAAGGGGCTAAGAAGAGGCAGCTGGGACTGATTTCCACACGAGGGTTAGGAACGAGAGGCAAGAGGGATGCATGAGTAACAGACGTGGCTTGTTAGGGTTGTGACAGGGAGGAGATGAGCAGGGATCTGACATCTTCTACATGTTTTCCTTTTTTTAGGGTTATATGTTAAACCATGAAAAGTACCTTGTGAGTAACCCACAGTAGGATTGGAGGAGTTTTTCAATGGGATGGTCAGTTTTGGGATTTAGGAGTCAGACCTTTTCCGCAGCCAGAGTTGCATATTGACTCGAAGGCAGATGCAAGCCCTTATAAAAGTGTTCATTTGTATATGAATTTCTCTCTGCCCAATCCACAGCCTCTCCGGCAGTCTGCCTGCTCATTATGCGACACAAACTTAACCCCTGCGCACCTGGGAATGCGCTAAAGACAGCTGCAGGTGCAAGTGATTAGGAGCCTTTCTCCTGCTCTTCAGCGAGTGGAAGAGAGGGGGCATAGCTCATGTGCAACGTATGCTTACTGTGCTGCCGGTGCTGTGCATGGACCAAACAGAAAGGGGATTTCCCTTTTTTCTGGTTTGTTTAAAACAGTAATTAGCAGATTTAAATCGCTCACCCTTAGAAGGAAGCCCTGCGTGTCTGAGCTCTTTGGAATTACAGAACCTGGAAGGTGGTGCATGAGGAAGAGCAGGCTTGCTGTAATGTTTGGCCTCACTTTTATTCCAGCCGTTTAGGCCCTGGTCGTTGTTCTGCTGGTGTCGCTGCCTTTAACCCCCCCATGGAGTGCCCCGCCCATGTCACTCACTGTTTCAAACCATATAATTGGCCAATGATAAGGTTGGCCCTCCTATCTATGAATTATCATCCCTCTTATGCCCCCACCTTAAAGCATACGTACTGTCCTTTTGTTTACTAATGTCATCCAGGGGCTGGAGGAGAAGAAACTATTGAATGTATGAGGCTTAAATCCTCTTGCCTGTAGTGAGACAGTTTTGGTCGAGAGTTCCAGGATGCTTAATCCCGACGCTTAAACATCCTCAGCAAAAGCGCTTGGCTGCTGGAGAAATAGCCATCAAAGACCTTAAAGCACAACGTTGTATTTTTTTTTTTGGTTCAGTGGGGAATTAGTAAAGATGGCAATAAAGACCCTGTGAAAGCAATAACATATACACAGGGTGTAAAATAGCAGTATTCTCTTTGGTGCCAGACACACATCATGTTGGCTCAGGTGAAATGGTCATCTTAAATTTCTGTGTTTCTTTCCTGTGCCTCGCGCCTTAAACTGCTCCCTGTGGAAACAGTCATATAGTTTTCACAGTTACTGTTATCCGTGGTAGACCTGGACAATTTAAGGTCCCACCACAACTCGGTAAACGGAAATTCGCAGTCTTTGGCGCAATTTCTTGTTTGTGCTTTCTGGCTTAGTCGGTGCCGAGTGGGGTCACTGAAGTGAAATTTGTGCTTCCATTAATACCTTCAGTCTGAGAAGTGCCAGTACAATGCGTTAACTTTACATAATGCAGTCTTGTCATGTGACTTCCTCAGCCTACTGTTCCTTTTAACATTTACCGACTCACTCCTAATGGTCCCTGCAGAGAAAAAAAAAAAAAAGAAATCAGTTGTTGGACGCTTCTTACCATGAGTGCCCCCAGTATTCCAGTGAGCAGGTTGACAAGGCCATTCCTTAGCTTTGGCTGTATTTGGTCATCATTATCCAGCACATTGGAAATAGCACAATAGGGTTTCAGGGTTCTTCATCGTGCCTCAGAAATGAGTCTGAACATTTGAGTAATCAACGGCCCTCCACCCACTGATGGCCTTCCTCTCTTACGTAACCCCCCCA